CCTTTTCATGTTTAGTGCTTCCTTTAGAAGCTCTTGTAAGGCAGGTCTGGTGGTGATGAAGTCTCTCAGTAGTTGCTTGTCCATAAAGGATTTCATTTCTCCTTCACTTATGAAGCTTAGTTTGGCTGGATATGAGATTCTGGGTTGAAAGTTCTTTTCTTTAAGGATGTTGAATATTGGCCCCCACTTTCTTCTGGCTTTCAGGGTTTCTGCTGAGAGATCCACTGCAAGTCTGATAGGGTTCCCTTTGTGGGTGATCTGGCCTTTCTCTCTGGCTGCCCTTAGCATTTTTTCCTTCAATCCTGGTGAATCCGACAATTATGTGCCTTGGGTTTGCTCTTCTTGAGGAATATCTTTGTGGTGTTCTCTGTGTTTCCCAGATTTGAATGTTGGCCTGCTTTGCTAGGTTGGGGAAGTTCTCCTGGATAATATCCTAGAGAGTGTTTTCCAGCTTGGATTCATTCTGCCCATCTCATTCAGGTACACCGATTAAGCACAGATTAGGTCTTTTCACATAATCCCATATTTCTTGGATGCTTTGCTCATTTCCTTTTACTCTTTTTTCTCTAGTCTTGCCTTCTCATTTTATTTGATTGAGTTGATTTTCAATCTCTGATATCCTTTCTTCTGCTTGATCAATTCAGCTATTGAAACTTGTGTATACTTTGTGAAAATCTCGTGCTGTGTTTTTCAGCTCCATTAGGTCATTTATGTTCTTCTCTAGTGTGGTTATTCTAATTAGCATTTTGTGTAACCTTTTTTCAAGGTTTTTAGTTTCTTTGCATTGGGTTAGAACATGTTCCTTTAGCTCAGAGAAGTTTGTTATTACCCACCTTCTGAAGCCTGCTTCTGTCAATTCATCAAACTCATTCTCCATCCTGTTTTGTTCCCTTGCTGGTGACGAGTTGTGATCCCTTGGAGGAGGAGAGGCTATCTGGTCTTTGATGGTTTCATCCTTTTTGTGCTGATTTCTTCCCATCTTCATGGATTTGTCTAGCTTTGATCTCAAGGAGCTGCTTGATGATATAGTCTGTCTCTCGTCTGTCTGTAGAGGCACTGCTAGGCTGCCATGAACACAGACCTGCTGCTGTTTTGGCTTCCTGTGTCTTTTGTTTACACAGGGAGATTAGGCCCGCCTCTGTAATGGCAGATGCTCTTCCCCCCACCGAGCTGGATCCTTCCAGGTTGAGCTTGAATTGACATGCTGGTTACGAAACCCTCAAGCAAGAGGGCTTCAGCCTGCTGGGCTTTGTTGGGGGAGGGACCCGCCTAGCCTATTGCCTATCTCCCTGCTTTTAGCACCCTCTCTCTCTGGTGGGGGTGGTAGCTCTGTTCTGCAGGCTCTCCCAGACTGCCAATGCATCCACCTAGATCTGTTCCAACAATCGGAGGCACCAACCAGGGCTGCTATTCAGTTCTACACAGGTAACTCAGGCACTTTTCAGCCCTGCAAAGATCTCCTGGTCTGTGGGTTGCAGAGGCTTTGGGAAAAGTGCAGTATCTGGACTGGTGTGCCAGAGGAGGAGGAAGCCCCCAATCCTCTGGTGAGATGCCCTTCCTGGGTGGAGCAGTGCCCTGCCCAGCCTCAGTTTGCCCTCTTTGGGCTATGCCCACTGTCCAATCAGCCCAATTGAAATGAATCTGGTACCTCATTTGGAGAGGCGGAGATCACTCGCTTCTGTGTCTCCCTCACTGGGAGCTGTGCCTGGGGGCTGTTAGAATTAGGCCATCTTGGCAGAAGTCCAATGTTCAAATATTTAACATAAAAAATTGAAAATGATTGGAAATATCTATGTACATTAAGCCCCAACTCTGTGATAAAATATTATGTGTGTTTTAGAGGAATATTTAGTGATATGGCAAAATGTTATAACAAAAATAAATGTATAAAATTGGACTTTATGATCTCATCTTTGGTTAAAATGAATTATTGCATGCATAGAAAAAAGAATGAAATCATGTTCCAAAATATTAATAGTTGTTATTTCTGGATGGTATCTTTATAAATTTTTGTATTTTTTTTTTATATTTTCTACAATGGTACGTATATTTTATATGATCAGGTTTTCAAAGCTTTTTTAAAAAACTCTTTTTCATAACAGTTATACTAAATTTAAAATCACACTTTTATATAAGAAATAAAAATGTAATAGTTTAAGAATAAAAACAGTCCTTAATCCATGTTAGAGATTATCATGAAAAATGAAGAAAGCCTGACATACAAACATGAAAAGAAAGCATTAAAGAAGTAATCATATGATACAAGTTTCTGTCTGCCTCACCAATCCAGAAGTTAAGCCACGGAGCATCAGTAAAGTAAGGGTATAATTTTTAATATTAGTAATAATTAATAGGTTTTTGCAAACCTATTATGCAAACTGCTTTAAAGCCAAATTAATTCTTTGAATATAAATATGTCTTTAATTCATTAAATTTAAAGAATTAATTTGGAAGCAAGATGGATATTGTATCAACTTTGTATAAATCCTATTATTCAAGCACTTAGCAAGGTGGCGTTGGGTATGAGCCATTTCATTTTGGAAAGAAAAGTAGCCACCCATCTAATCCTTCCAGGAAAGAAATATTTTAACATATGGCAGAGCCTGAGGCATCAGGTGTTATAAATCCCAGCTGTCATTCACACAACTAGCAGGCTACTATGAGAAATATTCTGGGTATTCCTATTCAGTAGTGTGATTCAAAACCTATCGAGAGTAGCACATTACAGATTATTAATAATCCTTTTCCATTAAACACACATTTCTTCTCAGAATAACATAAATTATTATCATTGTTAAGCAACAAAAGCCCATCTACTTCATTTAACCCTTGCCCTCCCCAAATAAAACAAAAACAAAAACAGATACTAAAACTGTGAGTTGTTCTGAACTTTCTCCAGTTAGCTCAGGAAAAACATTTACCTAAACTGCAGCTTCTTGTAGCCAGTCTTAAGAATTCCATCTATGTTCAAACTCTAAGAATTTGTCTCAATTTCTTCTGCTACCATAGGCATTGGTAGGGATATAGAACTAGGGAATACGTAGCACAGCCAAAGAGCTCTCATCCAGGTAGAGTCTCTAAGTAATGCTGCTTGTCTAATCTTCAAGACACACAAAAAATTAAACTATATAGTTAGTAATTATAGCTATATTAAACTTAAAACTTCTACTTACCAAAAGCACTATAAATAAAGTGATCGAATAACAGGTAGGAGAAAATGTTCACAAGGCACAGAACAAAAGATTAAACTTCACAATAAATAATGTTTACAGATGAATGAGAAAGTGACAAATGGCCCAATAAAAGTGGGCAAAGGACATAAACAGGTATATAAAATCCGAAGCAAAAACTATCAACAGAAGCTCTGTCTACTACAAATTAAGAAATGCAGAATTAAGCCATAAGAAGAAAAAAAGGACACATTCTACTTTGTTGGAAACAAAGTAGAAAGTCTGATAACACCAAGCACAGAGTTGCTGATAGGCATATAAGTAGGTACAACCATTGGAAAACAGTTCGATACTACCTAGTAAAGCTGAAAATGTCCTTACACCAAGGCTCAGGTTTTTTAGTCCATGGAAACTTGCTTACATATGCACAAGGAAGAATGTATAATACAAGAATGTTTATTATCTCACCCTCTGAGGCAGCAATAAAGAAAATAAAAAACAGTCTAATTCTACATTGGTTGGGAAATAAACAGCATGTAAGTATTCATACAGTAGGTTTTCATATAGTAGTTAAAACAAGTACATTTATACAGTGGATCAATTTCAAAGGATTAAGTAAAAATGAAAGTAAATCACAATATGATACAATATATATAAACATTATTTTGTGCATGTAAAATTATACACAAATTATACCAAATTGAATGTATCCTATTGTGATTATTTTGATGAATGTAAATTTTTTTTCTCCTTTTTCGAGAGGGAGTCTCTTTTTTTTCCTTTTTTTTTTAAAGATGGGGTTTCACCACAATGGCCAAGCTGGTCTTGAACTCCTGACCTCAGGTGATCCACCCACCTCGACCTCCCAAAGTGCTAGGATTACAGGCATGAGCCACCACACCCAGCCGAGAGGGAGTCTCACTCTGTTGCCCAGACTGGAGTGCAGTGGCTCCATCTCAGCTCACTGTAACCTCCGCCTCCCAGATTCAAGGGATTATCCTGCCTCAGCCTCCTGAGTAGCTGGGATTATAGGTATGGGCCACCACACCTGGCTAAGTTTTGTATTTTTAGAAGAGATGGGGGTTTCATCATGTTGGACTGGCTGGTCTCAAACTCCTGAACTCAAGTGATCTCCCCGCCTCAGTCTCCCTAAGTGCTGGGATGACAGGCATAAGCCACCATGCCCGGCCTATGTAAAATTTATACATGTACAGACACCGTATATATAGAGAGAGCACATATACAGTATCTTCATAGAGACAGTGTGCGTGTGTGTGTGTGTGTGTGTGCGCGCGCGCGTGCATGTGTGTGTGTGCTTGTGTGTGGTCAAAACAGAAATTCATTCATGGCAATGACACATTATTGACAGGAAATGGCTAACCTTAGGGAGGGAAAGCAAAGAGATGGAAGTATGGTTTTAGGTACATCCATAATATTATGTATCTATATTATTTTATTTATTTAGAGAAAAAGTATTCTGAAGCAAAGATGGCAAAATGTAAGCATCATTTAAATTCAGATGGTAGGTAAATGGTTGTCTAATATTATTTCCTGTATATTGGAAATATATAATGATTAAATTAATTATATTTAAGATATTAATAAGAAAAACACTCCAACAATTGCTTGGAGAAATACAAAACCAAGGCATATTGAAGCAATCTGAGAAGGCTTACGTTCATTAATAGAGTTAATTTTGCCTCCATGACAAATTCTTGATGTGACAGCTCTAATTAAGCCTGAAAGAACATCTGTTTTTAAACTTACCTTGGTGGGGAAGGGGGACCATTTTTTACTTATCTACCATGACAGTGTGACAATTAAATTTTTTTTTATATGGAATGCTAGACAACTCTGCATGTCATCCTTGCGCAGGGGCCATGCTAATCTTCTCTGTATCGTTCCAATTTTAATATATGTGCTGCCGAAGCGAGCACGACAATTAAATTTTAAAAGGTTTTCCAAGCTTTCTTTGACCTTACATTTGTGAGCAACTCATTCATACTTCAAATCAGTTTTTTATTTTTTCAAATTTTTTATTATATTTGCTTCTTTGTGTTTTTTGTTTGTTTGTTTGTTTTGAGACAGGCTAGAGTGCAATGGTGTGATCTCAGCTGGGCTCAAGCGATTCTCCTGCCTCAGCCCCCCAATAGCTGGGACTACAAGCATGTGCCACCACGCCCATCTAATTTTTATTTTTATTTTTTCATATTTTTAGTAGAGACAAGTTTCACCATTTTGGCCAGGCTGTTCTCAAACTCCTGACCTCAATGGATCAGCCCTCCTCGACTTCCCAAAGTGCTGGGATTATAGGCATGAGCCACCACACCCGGTGTTTTATTTGCTTCTTTGGGTTGCTGATTTAATTGTTTGATTTTCTCTGACATCGTATACATTTTATAAAAATGCAAACCAATATAGCTTAAGGAATCCAAACTAAAGAATGTCTTTGTACCCTGGGTAATCATCACAGTAGCAATTGGTTCAGTCAAGAGTCATTAATGGGTGCCGAAACTGGTGGGCAAAAGTTTGATGGGAAACAGGATATAGTGTTGAAGTATCTTGTCACAAATTACTTTTTAACTGTAAAGGGAAGAATAGTAACCTCACAGTGGAGAAACCAGGCAGATATTACTTTAACCAAAGTTAGCATCATGACTACTGAGATAAACCAACATCATGTGAATTGATGCGTGTATGACACAACACACTGAGATTACAGCATCACTTCAGTGCTAACCCTAACCCAAATTGCATAACCCAAATCTAAGCATGAGGTGACATCAAACACACCCAAACGGGGGAACATTCTACAAAGTAACTGGCCCGTGTGCTTCAAAAATGTCAAAGTCATGAAAGACAAAGAAAGTCAGAGGAATTATCCCAGACGGAAGAAGGCAAGAGTGACATGGCAGCTAAATGCAATATGTGATCCTGAACTAGACTGGACTCTGTGTCACAAAATTATTTTTCTTTTCCTAAGAATGACATCACTGGATAATTGGTAATTTTGATTAATTTGTTTCATGTTGCTTTGGTTGAGAAGACTTAGAATGCAAATTTAATATAAAATAATTTAAGTATATACACCATATAACAAGATTAAAACTGTGAAAACATTAGTCTCACCTTGCCCTCTATAAGAATGATCCAGTTCAGGCTGGGTGTGGTGGCTCACGCCTGTAATCCAAGCACTTTGGAGGCCAAGGCGGGCGGATCGCCTGAGGTCGGGAGTTCAAGACCAGCCTGACCAA